GGAGGAAATTGTATGAATTGGAAGAACGTTTAAGGGAAAATGAAGGGAAGGTGAAGGGGGGTGAGAATGTGTGTATGCAGGTGAAAATGGAGGAATTATCGAGACGAGTGGATGGTATGGAAAGAGAGAAAAGAAAAAATATCGTTGTGATTAGGGGTATGAATGTAAGGGCAACGGAGGGTAAAGGAGAGGTGGAAAAAGTGTTTGCGTGGGTGGGGGTTAGTGTAAGTGTAAAAATGGTAAAAGCGATAGGAATGGGCGAGAATGGTGTACCGAAATTGTGGTTGGTGGAGTTAGGTAATGAGGAGGAGAAAAAGGAAGTGATGACAATGAAAATGAAGTTGAAAGGAAGTGTGATAAGAATTGATGAGGACCGAACGTGGAGAGAAAGAAGAATTATATGGCTGTTGAGAGATAAAGCATGGCATGAAAGAAAGAATGGAAGAGTAGTACGAATGGGTAAAGAATGTATTTGGATAGATGAGATAAAACATTGTGTGAGGGAAGATACTGGGAAAGTGGTTAAGGTTAGGGCAAATGAGAGTGAATGATAGTAGAAAATGTGAAGAAGAGAAGTGAGAGAGAAACTGAGAAGGTTGGAAGGACAGCAATGGAATAGAGAAAATGTGGGTAGAATGAGGAGTGTGTATGAGTGAATAGAAGTAGTTTGGATGGTAAAATGTTAAGGTTAAGAAAAAGCGAAAAAGGGGTGGGCGAAAAGGGAGTATAGCCAGGAAAGGCAATTGGAACTGGAAACGGAAGCCCTGGCACTGGCGATTGTTGATAGGTTAGGGTATTTTTTTTGTATAAGTATAGTTGAATAAGGAAGCGTATAGGTTAAGTGTTTTTTGTAATTAGATGTAAGATGATTAATTGATTATGTATTTAGTTTGTAAGAAAATTGTATTTGGATCCTCGAACCTTGCTTTTTGCAGGAAGAGTAAATAAAAATTATAGCTAACCTCCCTACGGTTTAACCCGAGTATACTCGTGGTGTATCTTTCATTTATTTATTTAAAAAAAATTTAAGTCGAGAGTCACATAAATAAAGTACCAAGTGCAACTTTAAGCTAAAGAGTTGTATTATTTAATATCAAAATAAAAATGAAATAGTCAAAATTAATTTTAACAAAGTTATAAATTTACTTCCTGCAAAATTGAATTTTTTTTTACAATTTACTGTTCAAAAATGTCTACAACCTACAATTTTTAACCGATTTCAGTGTTCTTTATTTGAAATTAAAAGGGAATAAATTCTTAAGACATCCCTCGAAACCGATTTTTGAGATAATAATTATTTCTGATTTTTAGGGTTCCGTACACCTACGGTGTATCGGCGGAACCCTATTGGTGAGACTCTGTTGTCCGTAGCCAAATCGTGTCCCCCCCCCTAGCGGCTAAACTATTTGACCTAAAGAGCTCAAATTTGGTACAGATATGTATTTTCACACGTAGATTACAGGAAAAATATAGAGAATGTGTTTGGAGATGATGGTCATAGCGTTGTCAAGGAAATAACAAGATTTTTGGCCAAAAATGCATAAAAAGTGACCATTCCCCCCCCCCCCTTAACTTCTAAACTATTCGACATGGAGAGCTGAAATTTTGCATGCTGGGGTATTTTTACTCGAATATTACAGGAAAAATATAGAGAACTTGATATGTAATGATGGCCATAGCGTTGTCAAGGAAAAACTAAAAAATTTTTAAAAAAAATTTTTTTTCCCTAACTTTTACATTATTTGACCTAATGAGCTGAAAATTGGTATCCTAGTGTATTATTACAGTCTGACGACAAAAAATTTATTTAAGAAACTTTTTGAAAAAAAATCAAAAAAAAATTTTTTTTAATTTTTTTTTTCAAAAAAAAAAAATTCTTTTAATTTTTTTTAGTTTAAACACGTGGCATTAAATATTTTAAGGAAGAGAGTGAAATTTTAAGAGAATAAATGAGAGGTTGTTTTCTGACTTTAATTTCTTAACTAAAAATAAAAAAAAATTGGACAAGTGCGAGTTGTACTCGCACTGCAATGGCGGGTTCCGCACACAAATATTAAAACAATACTTGTAACATTGATCGGTAATTGGTAGAATTAAAATAAACAATTATAAAAATATATTAAAATCATTTGATAAAAAAAAATAACTAACAAAAATTAAAGTATTGTATATATCTAATATTGTAAACAATAATAAGCAGAGGAACAAAATTTTCAAAATTTATTATAGTTCCTCTGCTTATTATTGTTTAAAATATTAGATATACAATACTTTAACTTTTTTTAGTTATTTTTTTTTATCAAATGATTTTAATATATTTTTATAATTGTTTATTTTAATTCTACCAATTACCGATCAATGTTACAAGTATTGTTTTAATATTTGTGTACGGAACCCGCCATTGCAGTGCGAGTACAACTCGCACTTGTCCAATTTTTTATTTTAATCAAAGTTAAGAAATTAACACAATTTTTTGAAAAAGGACGTTCATTTTTTTATTTCGTTACTGCACATGATCTAAATTAGTTCAAAATAATCTAATATGACAACCAGACAATTAATTAAACATAAAATGATTTATTTAAATTGTTATAACCAATATTAAATAACAAATAGATAACTTTGATACCTTTCCACTAAAAAATGTTTTTTTTCCACATTTTCTTTTTGATTTAAGTTCATTACAAGAATATATGTCCTTTTTGTCTAAAAAGTAACTTATTTAAATTGTTATAAACAATAATAATTAATAAAAATAGATAACTTTGATTCATTTCCACTAAAAAAGGTTTTTTTCACATTTTCTTTTTAATTTAATTTCATTACAAGAATATATGTCCTTTTTGTTTAAAAAGTAACTTATTTAAATTGTTATAAACAATAATAATTAACAAATAGATAACTTTGATTCATTTCCACTAAAAAAGGTTTTTTTCACGTTTTCTTTTTAATTTATTTAAATTCAATTCAAGAATATATGTCCTTTTTGTTTAAAAAGTAACTTGTTTAAATTGTTATAAACAATATTAATTAACAAATAGATAACTTTGATTTTTCTTTCCTAAAAAAGGTTTTTCTTCCACATTTTCTTTTTAATTTAAGTCCATGACAAGAATATATGTCCTTTTTGTTTAAAAAGTAACTTATTTACACTACCGTCCGTGAGTATCAGGACGCCCCTTTTTTCATGAGTGGAAAAATGCTTAAAACGTAGAAAATAAGAATGACAAAAATTTTTCGTATTTTTTTCCTGAAAACTAATGAAATTATGAAAAGACTGACACCTGATCGAAGAATTTTCGTTGACTATTCTGTCAGATACAGAAAAAATACTGGATTTTGCATGCTTTTCGTAACTTTTTAATTTCTCGAAAACTAATTGACTTTTATTAGCGCTCATGGTCTTGTTTTAATCTCAATTTAATGTAGAATCTAAATTATTAACTGGTATTGTGAAATAAATTTTTCCAAAAAAATTTGAAACCGTAAAAGTAGGTTTAAAAAAATTATCATGAATATTAAAGTGTCAAAAAGGTCAATGTAAAATATGTTTATTTAATAGATAAACTAAAATTCAAAAAAGCTTTTTAATTACTTAATTATTTTTAAAAAAAAATTTTTTTTGTTGAAAAAGTGTCAATCTGTTTTTTAAAATTTTTTTATCCGACTTTCACAGTTTCAAATTTTTTTGGAAAAATTTATATCAAAATACCATTAATTAATTTAGATTCTACATTGAATAGAGATTGAAACAAGACCAAGAACGCTAAAAAAAGTTAATTAGTTTTCGACAAACTAAAAAATTACGAAAAGCATGCAAAATCCAGTATTTTTTCTGTATCTGACAGAATAGTCAACAAAAATTCTTCGATCAGGTGTCAGTCTTTTCATAATTTTATTAGCTTTCAGGGAAAAAATACGAAAATTTTTTGTCATTCTTATTTTCTACGTTTTAAGAATTTTTCCACTCATGAAAAAAGGGGAGTCCTGATACTCACGGACGGTAGTGTATATTGTTATAAACATTATTAATTAACAAATAGTTAACTTTTGTTCCTCTCCACCAAAGACATATTTTAAAGTCACAGCCTATTTAAAATAAGTATTTATACTTACATTCTTATATATTTTAAATGAGCCTAAATACAAAAGTATTCGTAAAAAAATTTTTGGTGAAGAGGAACAAAAGTTATCTATTAATAATGTTTATAACTATTTAAAAAAGTTATTTATTAAACAAGAAGTGGACATATATATATTCTTGTAATGAACTTAAATTAAAAAGAGAATGTGAAAAAAAACATTTTTTAGTAAAGATGAATCAAAGTTAACTGTTTGTTAATTAATATTGTTTATAGCAATTTAAATAGTTTACTTTTTAAACAGAAGGGACCTATATTCTTTAAATGAACTTAAATTAAAAAGAAATTGTGAAAAAAAACAATTTTTAGTAAAGAAATTTTTTTCTAGAAATTTTAGTAGAGAAATTTTACAGGAGACTTAAAAAACAGTTTATTTAAAATAGGATTAATTTAAAGACTCCAGCTTGTTTTCGTAGAATTGTTTAAATTTTCTTCTGTCATTGTAGAATAAATTTTTATTTTCTAATAAAAACCGAGATTATCCTTCGTTGTCGATCGATATTTCAGTACGATACGATATATAAAAAAACAAATGAATAAACGATATTTACTTTTTTAACATTTTTTGAAAACGATCAATATGAAGTGAGATAATTGAAAATCTCGTATCGTTATGCATTACTAGTAATGAGAAAAAAAATAAATATTTAAAGTTACTTTTATTAATTTTTAGAATAAAGATAAGCTTTTAGGAATTGAAAATTCTAAGAAGTGATGAAAATGTAATTCATAGAGCTTTTGTTGCCATGCAAAATATGCCATGCTCCCAATATTAGACCGATATTGGACAGGTGAAAAATTTTTCACTGGGTGGCGTATTTTTTATTTAAGACTAATGGTATAATTGAAAATATAAACCTCTCGTGCTTCACTTTCTCTTGGGTATAATAAGCCAGGAAGAATATTTGGTATTGGTTCATCATTTGCAGAATTGACCTCTCCTGAATTGACAAATATTTCCGCATCAGATAAATGTGGAGCCAGTATTATAATTATTACTAGCAGTAAAGTTGTCAACATTTCTTTTAATTTATCTGAAATATATATATATATATTCTATTATTAAATAGAAGATTGCTTGAAACCGACATTTGTTGCTTATAAATATCTTATATCACATGTCTTATATCTATTTGTCTAACTCGCACAGCTCAACAATTTTTATAGCAGTACTGGGAAAACCCTGGCTGGTAACGCTGTCCAGTACGTACTGATTTTATACTGTCAGTCAGTACTAGGTCAGTATTGAAATATCACCGGCATAACACCGCACAATTAGGTACTATTACGCAGGTAAAATTTAACAAATTTGGAAAATGATGTAACCCGCTCTTTAAAACAAAATTTACCTTTATAAGCTTATATTAAAGCTCGTTATTTAATTATTAGAATTGCTTTTATTGAAATAAGTTTAAAAAAAATATTTTTCTTATTTTCTTTCATTAATTTAGACAGACTATCTTATTTACTTAAATTAATGCCTAATTTATTATTAACCCTTGAGCGGGCAAGCGGGGTCAATTGGACCCCGCGAGTATCTATTTTTCGAATTTCTCTGAATCCGCCCAGTGTGCACGTACTATAACTGTTCTAGACCAAAAAAAGAACAGTGTTCTAGAATAAGTGTTACAATTTTATTATAAAACAGTTCTAGAGCTTTGTTCTAAATTAATTGTTCTGGAACAGTTGTTCTGTATCTGTTCTATAACAGACATGTAACATTTGTTCTAAATTAATTGTTCTGGAACAGTTGTTCTGTATCTGTTCTATAACAGACATGTAACATTTGTTCTAAATTAGTTATAGAATTTTGAAGTAACATTGTTCCTACAGTGTTCTAGAACACTGTTACAAAAATTTAATATAACTGTTTTTTCACTATAAACTCGTGTTTATTTTCACTACACGGAAAGATGTTATTATTAAATTTTATAAAAGTATTTTACAAGTGTAGGACAAAATGCGACAAAGGAAAATTTTGCTATCAACAAAACTAACACAGTAAATCTTAATTTAAGATCGGTCTTAAATTCAGCACTGTCTGCTATAATGTTAAAAGATACAAAAATGTTGTATCTTAATTTAAGGCTGCTTTCCTGCTTTAAAATAAGACTTTCTTTTTACTGTGAAACTTTAACAAAACGTACCTATATAAAATTTAGTAAAGTTATATTAAAATTTGTTAAAAGTTTTCGATATTTGATATAACTTTACTAAATATAGTATAATTTTTATTAAAGTTTAATACTTCTAATATAATAACTAATATAATAACTTTCTTTTCGTGTAGAGTGCAGCCGCGTTTTTGCATGAATTACAAAAAATCTTTTGAATTGAGATACTTAGAAAGACTCGTATCGATGATTCGTAAAAAATTGAATAATTTTTCACTGTCAGCTTGCATAAATTTTCAAGATTTGTAAAAACATTATTCACCAACAATAACATCAAATATTTAATTAATTTATTATCAATTATTAATTAATAGGTATATCATAAAAATACAATAATAAATTATTATTATTAACTAATTAATTAAAATTTTATTATTTGTAGCATAATTATATATTATTATTTGTAATAAAAAAATTTATATATATATGGGTCATTCCAGGCCAAATCGGAAATTATTTTACTTTTGCATCTCAAAAATCTTTTGCATCTCATTATAAAAACGTCCAATTTGATCAATTTTTGACCGAGTTATAAGCATTTAAAAAAAAATTTACGTAAAAAACGTCATTATTCATAAATCTGTATCTCCTGAACCGCTTCATGAAAAAATTTGAAAAAATTCAAGATAACTCATTTCAAAGAGTACTAAAAGAAAAAAAATGTTTAAAAAAAATTTAAGATGCAAAAGCAAAATAATTTCCGATTTGGCCTGGAATGCCCCATATATAGTTATTTTTTTATTAAGTATGTTACATTTCAATTTTTAATTTTAGCACTGCACATAACGGTCCCACAATTCAAAAGGAAGTTGAAGTAAAATCACTTCCAAGCTTGCGTGGCTATGCGGTATGTGTATTCGACTTGTGTCCTCTAGGTCTAGGTTTCGATCCCCCGTGCGTGCGAAATTTTTCATTCTTAGTTTTAAGTGTTCTGTGTATAATTCTGAATATTGTTACATAAAGTATAAGTTTAAATAATTATTAACAATGATAATAATAATTTAGTCATTAATTTAAATAAATAAGATAGTCTGTTTAAATTATTAAAGAAAATAAGAAAAATATTTTTTAAAAACTTATTGCAAAAAAAGATATTCTATTAATTATTCATATTTTTATTCATACTTATAAACATTTATTTGTTCTATGCAACTATTAAATTTCTGCTTGGGTATTATTTATGATAAATCGTTTTTGTTATAGAATTGTTATATATTTGTTCTAAAACAATGTTCTAGTTTTGTTCTAGAATTGTTACAGACTTTGGTTCCTATTTTGTGCCTCCAGGGGGACGACATTTTGACCTGCCTGTTCCTCACCAGTTACAGAACTTGTTCTTTTTGTTCTAGAATAGTTATAGAATTATTCTGTAACTTTGCACACTGGGCGTATGAAAAAATTAGTTTATCCTAGAGAAATTCTGTTAAATAGACGGAAAATACATCCGAATACTTTTACGTTTTTCATATTTCAATTGTAAATGATGCCACATGGGTATTTAAACTTTTTACCGGCACGAACAGGCAAGCGGGGTCCAGTGGACCCCGCACTGTCATAAGCATATAAAAACATTGCGATAACGTACAAGAAAAAAATTTACTACGGTGACTACAGTACCACTTAGTGAAATAGACAAAATGTATACAAATTCTACTATATGGGTGATTTTAAAAAAATTATAACAAATTTTCGAAAATTGGCTGCCACGGAGCTGACCACCCTATGCATTGAATTGTGCTGCCGTCAACTGGGGCTATTTTATGTACGCGAGGTATTTAATAAATATAAAATTATTAATCCCACCATGCTACCGTTTTTTTCTGAGTTCTTTGATAATTTTGAAATTATTAATTAATTACGAAAATATTTTTCAGATTAAGCAGGTTTCTGTATTAGGACAGCTGTGGTGTCGATACATATGAAACCCATGAGCTTATAGAGATTTATTTAAGATTTAATTTATTTGTTAAAAATTTATTCGGAAAATTGATAGCTTCTTCACCTTTAATATATAACTGCCGAATGATAAATTCACTTTCTATAATTATTAAAAAGAACTTCTTTGTCAAAAAACCATAAATAAGTAAATTAAAATCCTTAAAACGATTAAAACTTTAACCGGTGAGCAACATAACGGCAAAAAATTAACTTTAAATAATACTTATAAGTTTTTCAAATTAGTTTTAAAACTATTTCTCTCGCTTCTCTAATAACATGAAAAGTGTATTAGATATTAAATTGTTATTCATTTAACCTTAGAATATTAATTTCAAATTTTTGAAAAATATCATATTCAAAACGTTTAAGAAAGCTCCTATTGAAATGATGATTCAAAGTTATTTACATGTGTTTAAATGATAGTACTATAATTATCATAATGTATTATTGTAAAATGTATATTTAAAAGGAAAAAGTGTTATTTATTTTCTGAGTAATATAAAATTTGAAGAAAGGTTGTTAATTTTTAATAAATCATGATTTTAGCAAAATCTTAGTGTTTTATTTTACATTTTGTTGTATAATATTTACAACATTTTTTTTAATATCTCATTTTTTCTTAATTTACTCTGAAATTGTATCTACACAAAAGATTTAATGAAGGAGAAAGGATCAAAAAAATGTTTACGTAACATTATAAAAACAGAAAGATCAATGCACAAAGTAGCCCCATCCCGGGGTCTATTTTGTGCACAACTTTTAATGACTACAACTCCGACAAAAGAATTTATTTCATTACCTAACTTATAGGAAACCTTCAGAAGGAAGTCTATAACATATGTCAAAAGTTGATTTTCTTTTAATTCTGAATTTGAATAAAGCATTGAGTTAAAAAAAGCATTTTGATGCACAAAATAGCCCCAGAAAAATATTTACTATCAGCTTGACATAACGAGAGAATTTCATTTACTTCTTCTTTGTTTTCTTCTTCTTCTTTGTTGAATTTCATTTACATAATATTATGAAATTAGCGCATAAAACTAGTTTCAGAAAAGTATTCACCACTACCCAATGGGAAAAAAACCATTGGCGCATTAATGGCCCAATAATGGGAGCCACCATTCCATTATTGTCCCATTATTGGCACCCAATAATGGACCACTAATGGTAAAATCGTGGGATGTCCACGCCGATGCCAATAATTAGCAAACCATTATTGGCACATTATTGGCTGCCATTAAAAAACCAATAATAAAAAAAAATGTTTTTTATTAAATTTTGTCAAATAATAAATTTATTTATTTAATAATTATTTCATTTATTATTATTAAAAATATTAATTTTTTTAATTAATTATTTTATAGAAATGGTTATTATTTTCTATCACATCGAAATGTGAATAATCCTTTCGTTCAGAGTCTAAAAATTATTTACCTCACATCCATCAGTGCAAAAATAGGAGAGGACGGGCAGAATAAAATTCTACAAATATTCGTGAGAATGCTGCCTCCTTATATACTTTTTAAGTTTCATGTTAGTTCCGAGAGAGTTTCGCGCAACACCTCCTATGGGGCGTTGAGCGAACTACATACTTACTACATAATAATTTCTGCAGCGTTGGTAAGTAATTGTATGTAGTTCGCTCAACGCTCCGCAGGAGGTGTTGTTTTAAACTCTCTCGCTATTTGTACATATTTGTGGTTGCGAATAGGTTTTATATATACCTGTAAAATGTATCCACACCAAAAATTTTTTTATTTTGAATGTTTTTTCTGTGACGCCGCCAAATATTACAGTTATGTGAAAATCACCCATATAGTGTTTTTCTTTCAAAGAAATTTGCGCCTACTGTAACGTTGTAAAATTTGCTTTATCGGAGGAATCGCGAGAAGCTCAGTAATCGGCCCGAATAAATATTAGTT